CACTGCAATAGCTAGGCATTTCAGTGACTGGGATTATTATTCTGCTGATGAGCAACAAATTAAAAATCTTACAATTATATAAATTTCTGTAGAAGTGATTTACAATGGAAAAATAAATGAATATTTCATTGCAGCTGTGGTGCTAGCTGTTATTATTTTTTTTTAATGAGCCAATAAGGTACAAACCTGACTAAGGTATTTTTTGAGAATACCTAAGGACTATTATGCCTTTTGCTATAATTTGTTTCCCTCAGTTTAGGTTAAATCTCAGCACAAAAGCAGACAGCAATCATGACTCTTCTCAAACAACAACAGAATTTAGAAATCAAAACACCACATTAAAGTATATAACAAACAGAACAGAATATAATGTTGAGATTATTGCACTATTTATAAACAGAGGTGTACACAATTTTTGGCTGCTACAGACATCTTTTGGCAGCGTTATAGATCCCAAAACGGGGTGTGCTGCCTTGGTTAGAAAAATTGGCTCCTGGTTAGGGAATTTTTTTGGCCTTAACATAATCTGACTACCCTTCTGGATGAATTTGAAGCTTGTCTTTTACTCCTATTACTGACGAGGAACTCAGTAAATATAAATTTGTTGTAGGAACTTGTGGAGTGACAGTGAGTAGAACTTTGTGGAAGGACCAATTGCCTTGATTTCATTTTTTTTTTGTTTTGTTTTGCTTTGTTTTGTTTTGTTTTTTTTCAATTATAAGCCTTTCACACATGTCTGAACTGCTAAAGTTCATCTGTGCTAACATAGCAACTTGATACAGGTCGTTTTTCTGCAGATAATCACAATAATAATAATGCTTGCTTTCATTTCTAAAATATCAGATTCTTTACGTAGTCGTCAATCTCATGAATGCTCCCACATATTACTAACTCCTTCTAGCCAATAACTTCCAATACTGCCTGTAAGTATATCTGAAAGATTACTGGTTTTTTCTGTTAATGATTTTGCCAACAAGTGATAAATAGTAATAATTTTGCTTAATCATGCAATGGATTTCTAACTTCTTTTGGTAATAAGCTTTGCCCTAAAGCAGTCTACTTTGTACCTTTGTAGTTCTAAGTAGAAGAACAGATAATGAGGGAAAAAAATATGTGATTTTGTACAAATAAATAAATAAATAAATGTTAATTCGTACGTTGTTCACATTCTGCATTTCTGAACACAATAGGCCAAACAGAATAGCATCACCTATAACAATAAAAATTGTCCCCCAAAACTTCTTTGTCTATCTATGCAAATGAAGGGTACTCAAAGCATTCAGAGAAATATACTGAGCAATCCAACTCTCCCTAAACCAGCTTCCTGTTGACTGGTCATAAAAGCTACTCTCTACATCTCATCAAGTAAGCAAGGTAATCCAAATATTTAATCACAGGTGAAATAAATAAATAAATAAATAAATAAAAGCATAATGATTCAATTTCTACCAGAAATTGTATCTCTTTATCTTCTTTTTATCTCTCTTTTTGCTGCTACTGAAAAGAAAAAAATGAAAAAAAAATCATAAGAAATAGAAGAAATTATGATTCACAAGAGAGGGCAGCATGTGGGAAAGTATGCAAAATCAAAAAATAGAACCTAATATTAAGCAGTTGCTGCTTTTTTACTTCGTACATTATTTACATTTCTTTTTCCTGAAAGATAAACAACAAAGCCAGAACCTTTTATCTAACCTTTCTTGGTCTTTGATTTATTTTCCAGTGAAAAAAAGAATTGGATTTAGGCCATCCGCACTTAAAAAATTTAAGCCTTCTTCTCAAACTGTGTGTGAATAACAGATTAACGTTCAGCGTTTTATCAGAACATTTTTGAAACTACTACTAGATGTCACAAAGCAGCAAATATTGTTTAGTATTCATTTATTTATCACCTAGGAAAACTTTGTTTTTCAGTGTCATTATTCCTTTCACTGCAATTCATTGAGGCTCTAAGTTTAAAACAATTGCAAGAACAAACAATATCTACAAAACACTAAAACAATATTTGCCTTTTATTTATCCAGAAGAAACAACTAACTTGAATCAGATATTAAATAGTAAAAGAAATAAGTCTATGGAAAGGATTAACAACGACAGTGTGAATCAATACAACTAAAAGATTAGACTTTTAGAGATACCTTTTATTCATTTCATTAACATCATAGTAAAAATCAACTCAGAATTAAGGAACAGCACTTTTGAATATCTAAATCTCAATTAAACAATTTACTAACTCAACATCAAAAGCATTTCATAAGCAGATCCATAAAATTACTTCCTACTCTGTACGAAAATAGCCTTTTTTCCAGCTTCCACAGCTATGATCCCTGAGAGGTAAAATCAGAAATAGAAAACTTGCATCATTTTTCCCCGTATGTAAAAAGGGGGTGGTCATTTCATATTTTATTAATGGAAAAAATTATGATTATTTGCAGTATGTTTTCCTCACTTCATATGGCTTCTCACCATGCCAGCTGTCCAAAAGTGTAACTGTTTATCTGTTTTAAGCATTTCGTGTTCAGCAAATGGAATACATAGCAATGATTACTTTTGTGCCTGTAACTAGCACTGTTACCTCTCTGTAAGTTACCTACTTTTTTAGTTATTTCATGTTTTATGTTTTATGCCCATACATTACCAAATAACGCACTATGAATTGGAAGTCAATTTAAGGTTTTAATGCTTTCATACTCAGTAATAAAATCATGGATTTTCAGATTGTGAGTTCTCAGAGTCTACTGGTACCTTTTTCTAACAGAAAAAGTATTGATCTGAAATCTTAAAACTTCTTTGAAGTGAGCTACTGATTGCAAAAATGGAGAATAAAATACAACTTAAGAATGACAAATAGTACCTTTATACTAAATTGGAAAGCGCTACAGAAACATGCAAAAGTGAAACAGAACAACAGAACAACTTGATCTCAATTCAATGGTCTGTTCACTGCATTAAAGTACCCATCAAGTATAGCTTTTACTCAGCAAGAGAATCTCCATGCCCTTGCTTGGATCCTCTTCCCTTTTGGCCTGTACTGGCTTGGGATTGACCTGTATCATTCTTTAACTCTGAAGCAAGGACTAGTATATACATTGAAGAATTAGCATTCTCTAGGTTCCATCAAGTGCTGGGCATCTGTATTTTTTCTTTTTTTATGAACTGTACTTGGTGCTGAAGTAGGCGATATCTTTCTTAGAGCAAAGCTTTCATTTAAACAGATGAAACAAAACAACTGAAGAAAAAAAATTTCAGAATATCACAATTCAGCTGCACTTTTCAATCAGGTGAAAAGCTACTACAGTCTCCCTTTGCATGGCAACTTCCTTACTATTCAAAAGTGTCTTAAGAATTTGTTTTATCCCAGGACTCTTTTTTATTTACTTATCTATCTATCCATATATTCATTTTCACAGAATCACAGAATTGTAGGGGTTGGAAGGGACCTCCGGAGAGCGCAGAGTCCAACCCCCCTGCCAAAGCAGACTCCCTACAGCAGAGGTTGCACAGGTAGGCATCCAGATAGATCTCGAATATCTCCAGAGAAGGAGACTACCTTAGTCCCCTGGACAGCCTGTTCCAGTGCTCCGTCACCCTCACTATGAAGAAGCTCTTTTGTATATTGGTGCAGAACTTCCTATGCTCCGATTTATGGCCATTTCCCTTGTCCTGTCCCCACAGATCACTAAAAAGAGGTTGGCCATGTCCCTTTGACTCCCACAATTTAGCAGAGGGCTGGCCTGGAAATCTAGAATATTTTGGATAGTTAGGAACTTATCTCTTCAGTATTTTTGCCATTGTTTTGTAATTAAAATCCTTCACATATTTACACAGCAGAGCATTTCCATTCATGACTATATAAGCATTCTCTAAAACAGCATGGATCTGACTGTGGTTTGGAAGGAACATATGACTGCAACACAAGCCTACATGATGTAGCACACTACTCAAAGTGAGGTGATATTAAAATGGGGCTTAAATATCTTCTGCCATCTTTCTGTAGAAAACTTGCTTTTTATCAGATGAAAGATAGCCTCAGGGCTATTTTACACAGAGGGGTAATGGTAAAAAAAAGTGCAACACTTGGGAAAAGCAGCAGAAACTGGTAGGTCTGAACAAAAAAAAGGAGGGAGAGAGAGAGAGAGAGAGAGAGAGAGAGAGAGAGAGAGAGCATAGGAGAAGCTTGTACTTTGTTCACTGGCATTCCTTCTGCAAAATTTAATATCCAACTACTGAAGAGTCTACAGCTGCAATTAGTTAAAAGAGAAACAGGTTTAGAGAAGGAACAGCTGTTCCTATAAAGTTATTATTTACATCTTCAATCTTCATTTTAAGAAGACGGCAACACTGTCACCTGCTAAGACATCCTATCTTCTTTGGTTTTGACAGCTAGTTATCTTTGCCAGAAAAAAAGAACACTTTATTTGCACAATGATGCATTTAATTCAATAACAACTGTTTGCTCCAGAAAAAGATCTGCATAATCTCTGGATTAAAAAAAAAAAAAAAAAAAAGACTTTTGTTTTGCTGTGTTTGCTTTTCCTTTTTATTTCTGTTTCCTTTTCTCACATTTTTTCTATCATGAAACTTTTGCTTCAAGAATTCAACATTTATATTCTTTTCTGAATTCTGTGTGCATTTCAACATCTTTAGCTGTACTAAATTCCATAGCACAATATTGCAGTTAAACAAAATATGTCTAAATTTCATGTGTTAATCCCCATACAATTATAGGGTCTTGCTGTGCTCATTCTTACAACCTTCTCAGTTGCCTCAGAGTAAGAACCTAGCCATTCAGGACCCCATGTTGACCACTTCACAAGTACAGAATTTTGCAGTATCTACACTAGAAATAAAAGATTATACAACCAACAAACCTCAACCAACCAGAAGAAAGTCATCAAAGAAACAGAATAGCAATACAGCATTATGTTAGCATTAGAAATCTCAGAATAGGGAGAGAACTTACTTATTTTATACCACATTTTTAACATTAATTTGCTTACAGTGTTAGCCGAGTTCCCATTCAAATGCAAGCCACTGTCAAAGAGGGGGGATGAAGCTCCACTACTGTGATCACTGGATGGTCCAGGGGAACCTGGAAATCAGATCATGAAAGACAATTGCTTATGTTAAAAAAAAAAAAAATAATATATATATATATATATTATATCTATCTATCTATCTATCTATCTAATGAAATACTTTTTCCAGCTGTAGAAGATGGAAAAATGTTGATACCTATCACCACACTACACCAAAAAATAAAAAACTAATTTAATGTTATTTTTTAGAGGGTATGCTCATAGAAACTTCTTCAATGCTTAATTGTTTGAAGGAGCAAACCTTTATTTTTCTTTTTTTCTTTTTTTTTTTTTTTCTCCCAAGAATGAGACATTCAAAACCAAGTAACAAATTAAGTTACACAAATTCCATTAATTTAATGAACAGATTTCCTATTCAGTGTTTAAATTCTCATCTTGGACTATATTAATGGACAGTAAACTTTCAGACAAGTACTAACTGTACATGTATGTACATTTTGCTAACAGATATATATCTTTCTTAAAATGCCTATTATATTCAAGAATGATCCACCTTCTCAAACTAAGAAATTAAAAGCAAATAGTCATCTTGTATTGCTGACACGATGTTAGTAATTTAGTATAACACAGCTGTATTCTTTGAGATATGTTTCTTTGACAGCTGTGCATAGTGATCCTGCAGTTATTTAGCAATTAATGAGACTAGAAATGCATTTGTATGCAGTGACTTACTTGTAATGACAGAAACAGCATGAAGGCACATCATTGCATAATTTTTGCTTAAATGTAAAACACTAACATATAACACCAATTATGCATAACTACAGTCAGAAAGTACTTTGTCTTACAAAGCACATAACATCAATTTTACAACATTATATTCAACATCACTGAAAACATTTTTTTGTCTGAAGAAGTCATCTGAAATTGCCTGTAAATCAGTTCACATTAATATGTGTGTCAAGTCTAACATCACTAGACTCAAAAAGTTATTCATAGTCATACATTTTCGTATACATCTGAATATATATATCTTCATACATATACTTAAAATATATATCACATATTTGAAAGATTTAGCAAAATGGAAGTTAATTCAACAAAAGCTCATCTTAACAACTCTGTCAGTTCAGTGTTGAGGTCTTAAAATTAGACTATGAGCTTTAAAGCTTTGGTGTGTTTTTACTGGTGGTCCTTATTTTATTGCCTGAGATGATGCTAGCAGAAGGCATTGTCACATTCAGCTTATACAGGTCTACTCCAAGTGCTAACTTCAGTATCTAGACATATTTTGTTGCTACTATATACCTAAAGCAGACCACACACACACAAAAAAAAACTAACAAAAACAACAACAACAAAAGAAAAACCAACCAACCAAACAAACAAAAAAAAACCATGTTCAGACTTGTAGATCACCACAGTGATGGCAGTAAGAGAAAGTGATTTCCTTTTTCTTTTATTGAAATATTTAAATAAATATGTTGACATTAAACTCCCCACAGAATAGCCTGACTGTTGGAATCACATCAGAAAATGTTTTTAGTAGAGAAAACTGACATCCATTGCATAGCAATGCTTAATAAAAGGTGAGGCAACAATTTTTTCTACTCCCAGCATGTTCCTACAGACTTGCTTTTCAGTTCAGTAGCATTCCTTGGTTTTCTGAGTCTCAACAAACTACACAACTTCTCTCAGTCTATCACAGAATCACCAGGGTTGGAAAACACCTCCAAGATTATCCGGTCCAACCATCCATCCATCACCAATATTTCCACATTAAATCATGTCACTCAGTACAACATCTAAATGTTTCTTGAACACTTTCAGGGATGGTGACTCTACCATTTCCCTAGGCATCCTGTTCCAGCACCTGCCTACTCTTTCAGAGTAGAAATTTTTCTTAATATCCAACCTGAACATCCCCTGGTGCAACTTGAGGCCCTTCCTTCTAGTCCTATTGCTATGTCACCTTCAAATTTTTCAGTCTGCTCTCTGCTTGTTCTGCCCCACTCACTCATAGATTTTTCTATCTTGGCCTCACTCCATATTTTGAAAGTTTCTACTGTTTATGCTCAACTGCTTTCACGAGAGGTGCAGCCCTCTCATCTCTCCAATGAGCTCCAACTGCTGCCCAGCATGGCATCCCAAAAGCTATCAAGTGATCTTTCCTCCTCTGAAGAAAACATAGGATATGCATACATGATACACACAATTTAAAACAAACAAACAAACAAAAAAAAAAACCAAAAAAAACAAAAAAAAAACCCACACAGAAACAATAAAACAATTATTGTTATTATTAATTGTATTAATAATACAATTAACAATAATTAAAAACAATTAAAAGTAATTTTTCTCTATCTGCCACTGTAGATCTTGCACAAGTAGCTGAGACTTCAAATCAAGTGCTAGGCATCAGTCCAATCTCTGGAAAATTAGTTCATGACTACATAAAGAAAATGTTTATTTAAAACAAACCATCTGCTGTAGGTAATACCCCCTCTGTGACTACGGTATCCCACTAAGTACTGATGTTAGAAATATGTGGTATGTTTTGAAAGTTTCAGCAATCATTATGATTACCTACCCTCTTCGTATTCCATCCAGATTGCAGCTAGACAGTCAACCTATGAGAAGTGCAAACTTACACTGTGAAAGGCTTTATCTATGCATTTTTTCTTAGCTGTGTCATTTTTGTTATTTTAAGAAAGCTAGGTCAGGAAGGATCCTCTGAGTATGAGGGAAAATGATTTTTACTTATGCAACATATGAGAATGCTGAGAGGAAAAACCCTGTGAGATGAGAAGGGGTCACAAGGAGAGATATCAAGGATACATGTACTTGCAGCTCACAAAAGCAACTGACATACTCCTGAGGGTGGCAAGAAAAATCCAGAACTCAGAGGTGAATGAAAGAAACTAAAGGATCACAGTGGATTTTGCAGATCTTGTGGTGATTCAGTAAATCAAGTTAACTGATGCGAAATCTAAAGCAGGAGCTCATTTGCAGTGGTACAAGTAGGAGTTGTTTATATATCCTTTAAATTCTTTTTGACACAATGACTGAGATTTAAAAAGTTAGGGATTCTATTGCTTAATTTAATAAAACCTGGATTTTATTTACAGTTCAAAAGGCTTAAAATTAATAGACATACAAAATATTTTAAAGATCTTATTACCTCAGAGTCCCATCAACAGATTTTACTTTTTTCCCAATTTAGACAATTAATTACACTAAAACTGTAAAAAACAAACAAAACCTCCAAAATGAAATAAGTTGGCAGATTGCTGTAAAGCAGATAGTCAGCAGGACTTTATCTTTTATGACATTACAATTTGTCTTACAGTCAATGTTGCTAAATGATACTGGAGAGCTCCTTAGCAGGGTCTGCTGTGATAGGACAAGGGAAATGGTTTCAAACTAAAAGAGAGGATTACATTGGTTATTAGGAAAAAAAGTGTTTTACAGTAAAGGTAGTAGAGCACTGGAATGGGTTGCCCAGAGAGGTGGTGGATGCCTCATTCTTGGAGACATTCAAGGTGAGGCTGGATCAGGCTCTGAGCACCTGATCTAGCTGTAGGTGTTTCTGTTCATTACAGGGGAGCTGAACTAGGTGACCTTCAAGGGACCCTTCCAGCTGTAGTGATTCTGTGAATCTATGAAAGATCATGCATGGAGAAAATGAGGGACATCAATTTTTAAACTTTCATCTTTCCTTTGAAATGTCCTGTGATGAGGATGTTTGTCTTTTGTTTTGCCACATGGAAAACACACATTATACTCTTAGCAGTATTATTATTCCTCCTTAGGTGTAAAGAAGGAAAAACATCTATACTGCTCTCTCCCTTTTTTTATTTCAAAGTACCTCTGGTGCTGACAAAATCCATCAAAAATATTGTGCCGTTAAATTGCCAGTCTTCAGACTTTGTGCGAAAAGTTAAAAGATGAACTTTAAAAGTTCCTTTCAAACAGTTCTGTGATTCTGCAGTATTCCTGAACACCTGAATCAGAAACCTTTACCTTACTAAAACCATTATCCTCTTTCAAAGGGTCTGTAGCCAATCATTTGGAATCTGCCCCTGTTACTGTTATTCAAGAGAAATCTGTTCGGAGTAAGAAATTCAGTGTCATTTTAGAAAGGCTATCACAGGATATCAACAAGCACAAGAAAGACAAAATGCTTCTTAACTGAAAGAGATATATTGGATACAAACTACCTATTTGGGGCATCTAATTAGGCCTGCCTCCTTTACACAGAGCATGAGCAAATCTGATACATTACGCTACCCTGCTCAGTCTGGTCCGCTATGTCATGCCTGAAGTGCAATATTCAGAAATAGAACTCAGTACAATCATACATTTGAGGAACTTAAGAAATGTCCCTTCTTCCTAACTGGACTTGGAACCTCAGCACAAAGCTCACTAGCTCCTCTCCTGGATGTTCTCTTCAGCCATTCAATACTAGCTGAAACCAAGCTCAGTGAGCAAGATGATCATTGGTAAATGACTTGATTTGAGTACTCATTCCAGCGGTGAGCAAATAAACAAATAATGTCTGGAAAATCATGGAATATAGGTCTTCTTTAAGGGAATACATGAGTGGTGGGACTCCCATTCAAGAAGAGCTTTCACGAGACCATGCACAAGGTGGAATTACAGTCATGAAGAATCAGTGACACATATAACAAATTAAGGAGCAATTCTACTGAGCAGTAAAATGCATCCCAACTCACACTGCAGGCAATATTGAAGTGCATACATGAATAAATCTGAAGTATCTTGTCCTTTCCTGGCATCCCAGAAGACTCAAGCTCATGGGCCCCTATCTCTAAGCATACAGTCAAACCAGCTGCTACCCTGGCAGTTTTAGTACTACAGTGTGTTCACTTCAAATGCAACTATGCTGTCTCTTCCCATTATCCAGCATTATTACTATTTCTCATAAGCACATAATTGGGAGTAGCATCTGCCTCCCCTGCTTCCTTCTTAAAGCTCTTCCTTCCTTCCCTACTATATCTCATACTGTGGTTACTGAAGACACAGGTTGTCACAACAGGGAAAAATTTGCCTGCAGTTCTTGTAATATTTTCTGTGGCTCTACTCTTTGGAGTTTGGCATGAGTTTAGACATGAATACTCATTAACTGGCACTTAAGGATGAATTGCTTGTTTCTGTGTTTGGAGAGACCCTAACTGCACCAAACTGGTGATCATCTTGAAGACATGCACAGGACAAATGGGTGATGAGGACTAGCCTAGCACGGGTACATGAAAGGCAGATCCTGGTTGACAAACCCTATCTCCTTCTATGACCAAGTGACCTGCCTAGTGGATGAGGGAAAGGGCTATTGATGTAGTTTACCTATGCAGTATGCATTAGATTCTTACAATGTAAGCCATGGAGTACACAAATAATTTCCTATTTCTTGCAGTAAAACACTCTAGGATTGAATTATCATTTCTGTTAGTACCACTGTTTCATAAGAATACAACAAAGAGGAAAACAAATTACCCTTATCCATTAATTGTCTCTTACCTAATGGGAGCTTTAAAAATGATGGAGCTTCTCTGAAGTACTGAACAGTAATGGTAACTTCATCACCAGCATTTCGCAGTAGGTGTACCTGTCAGCGTGACAAATAACAGCTACTTTAAACCACAGAACCACCATGTGGAAAGCACATTAACGAAATCAGTATTTCTGTTGATCTATAAGGTAGTCAGTATGAACATTTCTGAAGAGGAATGAAGACTATTTTGGGGTTAAAGCCACACCAGTAAAGGAGTAGGCAAAAGAGTAAATAAAAGAGTAGGCAAGCCCAATGGAACAACCTGAAGAAATAATTTAGTGGGCAACCTGATTTTATATACCAGCTGAACATAAATTCTCCAGTCAAACTCATTTTATAAAGCTGCTACAGAGTAGTACTAGTGGTAGGGAGAAATGTATTTATGTAGATACATTAATCATGTGCATGAATACATACATAAGTACATAACATAAATTAATACATCACATATATTTTATATAGGGCTTATATTTTGTCTGATTCAGGTGATAAATTACAGTCATTTTTCCATTTTAAGCATAGTTTTCATTTTTGTGACTGTCTTCATTAACTATTAATATTTGCTAATCAGACGTGAACACATGTAGGCGTGAATTTCATATATACACACGTATGGGTACAGCACCTCACATCAGAAACATCAGAATTGAATTGAAGACATAGCACATTACTGCACGAAGAACTTTTTAAAATGCATAATTTCAAATAATATCTTTGATGGAACTCAGTTCCCAGTAGAGGACAGAGGTATTCTCCAGCTACATATCCATGACTGAGGAAATAGGTATTATGTTTGGCTGGTACGCACCCTGCAGCCTTGGTCCCGTTTGTCAGAAATAGATATTAAGACCCATGGTCTCTAATCTAAGCATAACCAGAATAAGTGAGTATCAAGCAGAAATGTAACCATAGCAATCAGTAACTCCTATAGAAGTATTTACAGGTCTAACATGCTCGGAGGAAGCAGGTGCTTGTATTGCTTCAGGCCACTATTTCAGCACACTGCCACATCGACTAACACAAGAAGCAGGATTACCTCAAATATTATAATTCTTCCTTATGTGTACCCGAAATAATGCTTACACCAGTGACTGATCTATTCACCTGCATAAAAAATATTAAGCTTATTCCTGATGAATATGAAAATCCAGAACAAGTAAAGAAATCAAGTAGTCACCTAAGCTAAGAATCTTAAGCTTTAAAAATGTGTTGGAAAGGACTGAGCAAAAAAAAATGACCATAAAAAATACAACACTACCGAGAGTAGCGCAAAAGCAGCAAAGCCATAACCCACTCTGTTTCTTACAGAGCCAGAAATAAGTTGTGAGACAGAGAAGGTATCAACTTAGCTGGAGACAAAAACAAACATGAAAGGGAGGAAATTATCTTAGTTCATTGAATTAGCCCTTTTATCTTATTTTTGCTTACAAATACAATAAGACATGTTTTGAACCACAAACCTTCATTATTCTTTTTAAAAAATAACACTGATCTTGAACAGCATAATTACCAGTAATTATAGATTTTTTTTCTTCATGATTTTGTACATTATTTTATCTACTTAATTACATACTTCAGTTTCTGATTTACTTGAAAACAATGCATACACAAATATCTGGGATATGACACTGTTACATACTGTGGATTGAAAAATATACTCTGAGCCAAATCAGTTTTTCCCCAAAGGAGTGGAAGTTTAAATAAATTTGCTTAAGGCTAACTCTTAACTGAAGCATGAAGACCCATCCCTCAGAAAGTAATGCTGCCATTCTTCAAAAACTCCACAAATATCAGAGCACCACAGTGACTTTTCTCTGGAACTTCAGGTCTGTCTCAACTATGATAAATGCACTATAATTGAAAGGACTTCAAAGCCAAAGAACTCATAATTTTACAATTAGCAGCATGTTTTAATGCTCACCTACTTTTATGTATTAATTATGAAAATAAAGAATTATCCCAGGAATCAAAAACAAAATACCAATCCCTCCCCCCCCCCACCTCCCAAAGAAAAACAAACAAACAAACCCATAAAAGACAGAAATGGATAAATTACAAAACAAACATACAATTCCTAAATGGAAAATTAATCAATTGTTACTGATATATTTAGTATGTAAGAAACACATCAGTCAGTCAGGAAACTGCCAGCATCATCCACTCGCAATGGTATGCAATGACAAAGAATGTGATTTCAGTTGAAAGATGGTCAGTTTCTAATGAAGGTTGTCTTGTGTCACTCAGTAAAAAATCTAAGCAACAAACTTTTGAAGTTATCAAAATAAGCAAGTGATGTGCTACATTAAATTTGGAAATTGTTGATGATTTGGACACCATTTCCTCTTCCTACAACAAACTTTTTCAGTTATCCTTTTTTGTACTAAGCCTTCCTAGTATAGCAGGTGTTTTGCAGACATCCAGAGTTAACACAGGAGGAAACATAAGAATCAGTAAGAACCACTCTTGATGTCCATGCCAATGAAGTACAGAGAAAAGTCACAGATCTGTGGACTGATGAGCCTTAGAATTTATCTGAAATCATGCACATGTTCAGCATTTCAGGCATAAAGAACTGAAACCTGGGGTATCTAGAAAGTGATAATAAAAAAAATCCTCTTTTACATATAAATTCTTACAGCTTGTAGAAGACCATAATAGCCTATCCATGGACAAAATGCAGCAAAATACTTCCTCCTTCCCCCTCCCCCACAATTCCCCAAGCATTGTAATATTACTGTCACCATAAAACAGAAAATCATTTACAATATTCTGCATGTGTCAGAAATAAATGTTAGGCAAAATCTTTTGCACATTATTCCAGAAAACCACTCCATGATTCACTGCAACAGTGCTACTGTAAAAGCTAATATTTATTCAGCATAAGTCAGAGGGATTTTTATATATTTTCATTCGATATGCAAATATTTTCTATACTGAATAGAATCATATGAATTGATTAGAGAACCATCATGCAAATTACATTAAGTCTTATGAAGGATTAGTGCTTTTTTCCAATTAGACTTTTTGCTAACACTGTATTGGAAAAAAAAAAAAAAAAAAAAAAGCAAATATAGAAAAAAAACTAATCAGTTAAAAAACCTTGTGATTTCCTAATCCAGTTTTTTAATAGTTTCGATTCAGTGTTTTAGTTTATTCACCACCTGAAGCATATGAAGAGATTCACACTCTGTGAGTTTGTCTGGTATCTACAATATTGAACAAGAGCAGATAAGTAGAAACTAGCCTCAATTCAGTGCCTAAACTAACATACCTAAAATATTAATGATAGCTATGAGATCTACACGCTTGTTTGAGCTCTCTTGTTTGTCTCTCATGCTCATGTGTGAGACGACTCTTCTGTTAAGAGTCAGTGACTTTATGAAGAGAAGCAGTAGAAATGTTGGATCATGTAAGTTTGAAAAACCTTCAAGATCACCAGTTTAACCACCAATAATCACTAAAATAAGTTCCTTAGCATCACATGCAAACATGTCTTGAACACCTCCAGGGATAGACAATCTAAAGGTACACCTGGCAGCTCATTTCAATGCTGGTACTTAAGTACGACTCATAAAGGGATTTTTTCCACCCACAATCCACAGAGTTTGTTAATCTCTCCTGTCATCGTACATAATAATTTTACTAGTAATTTAATTTTATAGGGCTGTAAGTTCTCTACATGACTTTCATTTTGAGGAAATTTACCAAATGCAAAATAACTGAGCTCTTCTTATGTAAACAGATTAAGTCTGATCTTTTACAAATACATCTATTTAATTAATCAATCCAATATCACATGGGCATTCCCTAAGTCTTTTTTAGCTTGTAGATGAGTCCTCTGAATAATACCAGGCTAGATTCCACAATTCTTTATGCCCTGATGAAAATCCAAGGCTCACACAATATAAAGTAGTGGATTAGTCCAAAGCACAAAACATTACTTAGGTAGAAAAGGATGGAAAAGAAAGCTGGAAATAAAAAGAAGAGGATACTGTTTCAGAGAAACTATGTCAGCCACAGCTGAAATGCACAGGTGTGACTGAAAATTAAGCTACTGGTTAGTTTGTGCATAAGACATAAGAATCAAAAGAAGCAAGAGTGGAAAGGTCTTTCTAGAGATGGCTAGGGATAACAAAGGACATTATTCAATGTTCCTGAATTTATGAAGTCTTGTTTTAGAAAAGAAATAAAAATAAAAAAAGAATTCTATCAACTCTTTCAAAGACATTCCAGATTTATTCATGGTTTGCACTCTTTTGTTCTTATTCCATCAATCTTTATCATTATTTGGCTTTCTTTCTGACTTTTTATATAGCAATGATCGACAAAGTCCCCGAAGGTAAGAATTACCTTCCCTGTGGTGATCACCTGCCATACTTACTGCTCCTCACAACTCCACTTCTATTTCCCTCTCCTAACTGTTTATAGCAGTGGCTGTCCTTGCACAGGATGCTGAGGGCCATGGTCCAGGTGCTGAAGATGTACAGATGGAGTGCTGGCAGCAATGCCAACAGCAGTGAGGATGCAGGTGCCAATGATCACCTTGTCCATGTCTGGGGACAAGCAAAGGTTTTGATTAATTCAGTCAATTTTGTAGAAGAATCTACAATGTCATGTGCTAGTATTTCTGAATAGTAAGATAGAGATTTCCTCATTTCAACCGTAATAAAATATGCAAAATGTGATCCCGCTTCAAATATATGTCTACTTATGTATTTTTATTTATAACCAACTATTAGTTATACTGTTTCCCCTCAAGAATTACATATTTTTCCTTTATAACATCAGAGACAGAGTCAGTTTCAATTTCTGAAGTATATTTCTATTAACTACAGTTTACACATGCCTCTAATAGCAATTCAATTTTTGACTCTTTATTTATGACCGAAAAGGCTACTATAGGTTGTTATAAATACTTTGTAGATTGGAAGATCTTTGGAGTCCAATCTACAAAGTATTTATAGCAACCTATAGTAGCCTTTTCATTTATAAAATGAAATTTGTATATTTCATTTATAAAATGAAAAGCCTTAAAAGAGATACAGCTGCAGAAC